ACACGAACGATATCGCTACACACAGTTCCTCGCCCGCTCGTTTTCATGCACGGCATCAATCCGCAACTACCTCAACGGCGTTCGGCTGCTGCATTTATTCGTCTCCGAGACCCCACTTTCACTCGACTCATTCGAACTGCGCCTTGTCCTCCGGGGAATACAGCGCACCAGCCTCGCCGCAAGTTGCCTATCACACCGGATATCCTTCTTCGAATTCATCGTCTCTTGGACTTTACACGCCCGCTTCACGTTACGCTGTGGTCCGCTTTCCTCATCGCATTTTATTCGTTCCTGCGCAAGTCCAACCTGGTGCCCCCTTCAGATACAGCTTACGACGCCCGCATTCATCTCTCGCGGGGCAGCGTCGGATACAACACCACAGGTTTGATCATCCGTATCACATGGTCCAAAACCATACAGTTCGGCGAACGGGTTCTGCACATTCCCATCCTGGCTATCCCTGGCTCCGCCCTCTGCCCAGTATCAGCCTACAAGCAGATGGTGGACATGTTGCCAGCACCTTCAGAAGCTCCCCTGTTCCTTGCGCCGTCATCTACCGGCAGACTGCATCCTTTGACCTACCAGTCTTTTGTCCGACATCTGCGATCATTGCTCAGCTCCACAGGGCTGGACCCAAACAGTTACTCCGGTCACAGCTTTCGTCGCGGAGGTGCCTCCTTCGCATTTCAGTCGGGCGCAGACCCTGAAGCAATTAAAGCGCAAGGCGACTGGCGCTCACAAGCTTACCTGCTCTACATGGAATCTTCATTCGGTCGTCGCCTCAGGACGGCATCATGCATTCGCGCTGCTATCAAGTCTGGCCAAGTCGATCTGACACTTTGAACATTTGCTTTTGGCGGCTTTCATTTTTTTTGGCCTTTTAATGCTGTATTTCACTGTATGCCAGAAATGTAATTTTAGATTCAGCAGAATTAAACTAACTTTTTATTTCCTTTTGCCGCCAATTCGCTTGAGTCGGGTTCGTTCTTTGCCAGTGAATAATTGTTGTATTTTGTAGGTAGTTCAAAATTGTTAATTATTCATTTGCATACTTTTCATTTGCATAGCTTCGTTTGTTTGTTTAGTTCCTCTACTGCGCATGATTCTTGTAGCCAGTTCGCTTCGTTCTGTTTACTTGCACTGTTTATATCGCACGCTGTTCGTGCCCAGTCATTTCTGTTCGGGTTATTTTCACCCACCCACCCACCCATTTTTTCTCGCGGTCATGCCAGCTCGCTTTTCTATCATTTTGTATTAGTATCACGCTCTGTTTTCTTTCGTTCTTGTTTTTGAGTGCTTTTTTTTTTTTCATTTTGTCACAGTTCTGTTTTTGCCTTTTAATGCTGTATTTCACTGTATGCCAGAAATGTAATTTTAGATTCAGCAGAATTAAACTAACTTTTTATTTCCTTTTGCCGCCAATTCGCTTGAGTCGGGTTCGTTCTTTGCCAGTGAATAATTATCTTGGATGGACCAATCAATTTTAACATTTCTCTGTTGAAGCCAGGCAGCAAACTTTACGTGGTAATCATAAAATATACTTCCTCCAAAACTATTAATTTCAATTATGTCGGCCTCATAAATATCAAGCTCCTCTTTTCTAT